CGAACCCTTACAGCTTCTCGTCGAGTTTTTTTATTTTTTAAGAAACAACAAGTAAAGAGAGCGAGTATTGCGGATGGGTTGAGGTTTCGTATTGTCCGCTCTCAAAAGAACAACGAATCATTCCTTTCTTTACGGATCATCGTGCATCATCGTTCGGTTCGTTCAGCCAAATTTTCATTAGCAACCGACCGTTATTCAGATCGCGTACAGTATAGTAGATCCATTTCGCAGGTTACAATTCTACTCAAAAATGGACTCTCGTTTTGCGAGGGATAAGCACGCTTCGAAACGCGGCAACTTTTGATCCTCCTCGTCAGTTGATGCGATACCCGCTTTTCCAATCTTTTCACTTTACCCGTCGCGAATGTTTGAAAACTGTCATTCGAGAATACGTCTAATCCCGTGGATTAGCTTCAATTTCCAACATTCTCCCGATTTCCACAAATCTGAATTTTTTCAAGCACCGCCACCGAAACGGCGCTCCTCTCGATGGAATCTCCTCCGAAACGTAATCTAATATTTCGATACAAAATATTCCAAAATTGGTTCGCTTCTCGAGAGAAGACGGTTAAACCAACTTATTACCCAAAGAAAATATAAGAGGACGAAATATAGCGAGTTAAGTTTAATGAAGTGGCAGTCGATTGTCGATTATTCTAAAATTATTCTAAAATTGGCGATTCGGTGTGGCAGAATCTAACAGTTTCGCGGTGAAACGAAACGATCGAAGAAGAAGAAGAAGAAGAAGGAGAAAGTTGGCGGTGACTCGATAAATCACGTTATCCAGGGATGGGAGAGTTGCGAATTGAATAGCAGCTGACAGCGAGAGCGTATGGCGATCGATTAAGATCACGCCACGCGTCATCCAAATTAATTAAATGGCCTGTATCGATCGGACGTAGACGCGTATCGGATAGAACGTTATTATTGCAAAGCGTTGCGTATCCGAACATTTATGAATTTCCACGGGAAATGTTCTACCTGGCGAGCATGCGGCCATTAAATCACCAGCTCCTAGTTTTGTCTCCGTATAAATTTACATTTAAGCGGAGGAATAGACAAAGATGTAACAATATCGCGGTAAATGTCAATTTTAGTAAACACTGGTCTCGTACATTGAGCGCGATGTATTCGTGGCACGAATATCATGCGCACAACTTGTTTTCAAAGTAAAATGACGCAAACGTTAAAAGCATCGAAACAAAAATGTTCTAGCATTGGGCTTGCAATCTCACTCATACACACACACACATATATATATATATGTGTACGCGTTACTTTTTCAAAAAATATTATATATATGTCGAATAATAAATGGGATTATAAAAAATCGTTTCAACGCTGTCTCTACGTTTTCTCATTACTATTATCGCGATACTATATTTTTACGATCGTTTTAACGGCCTTCGTCGCGTTAATTCAACAAAATTAAGAATCGAACGATCGTCCCGTTGAAAATGACATCGTTCGTTATATTTTATTAAGTCAAAGTAAAAAATTTATATTCTACGTTTTTACGAACGCATATACATACAACCATGTAATGTGATATAAAATTTAAAGAATTTTTAAACTCCTCAAAAATGCTTTATTTCTCGCGGTTAGATACGTATAACCACGTATATCCGGAACAAATATGACCGAGTACAGAGTTATATTTGTTAGTTTTGTGAAAAAAAAAAAGAAAGAAAGAAAGAAAGAAAGAAAAAGAAAGAAAAATAAATAAAGGTAGGAGAATGCAACGTTGAATATGGTAGTATTGTTCAAAGCCGTGTCATCAGGCTGAAGAAGCATCGGAAAGCTCTCGACAACTTCAATAAAAGCTGTTTCCACGTGTACGTGTACGAAGGTAGGAACGTTATCCACGGCCATATGGGAACCGTAAACTGTACGATCCATTGGGGTGTACGAAAGAAAGAAGAGGGTGCGTGGAAAAAAAAAAAAAAGGTCGGTAGAAACTAGGGACACGTAGTAATTCGTGGACCACGCCTCGATGCTTGTAACTGTACGTGCGTGCGTACTCGTCGACGCAAACACGCGTGCGACCCCGATTCGATTGCACCGGCATAAGGGTCTCGCGACGCGCAACAGCCTAGGGTCGCATCTCTCCACCACCATCGTCCAGTCATCCAGAAGAAGAATAGGCGTCGCGAACTGCTCCTTCGCTTTTTCTCTCCCGTGTAAACAAAATGTGAACGAAACCGCGCCATGTACGCATCATATAAAAATAACGAGTAACTAAAAGTAACGAGTAATATATATAATAGAATAATATATATATATTAAGAATTTATTTCGTTTCGTTTACGGAAAATCCTTTCGTAACGAGGATCATTAATATTTATTTATGGAGATTTACGATAACGTCTTTTTTGTTTTTTTGCCTAGAGTCAAAAAAAAGAAAAAAAAGAGTGAAAACGCGCGAATAGCATCGTTTTACTTACTACCTTTTGTATAAAATATATATTTAGTTAATCATTTACTCTCCTTTGTGCAACGTGCAACAGTTTGTCACTAGTGTCTATACACGTGTATATACGTGTACATAGTAAAAGCGAATCGCGAAATAAGGAATGGTGCTCTGTTCAAATTTATAGAAAAACTTCACAAAGAGATATATTTTTATTTTTTAGAGAGAGAGAGAGAGAGAGGATACACGAGCGATAAAGCATGATAAAACACGACGAGTTGTTTTCTTTAAAATGAATTATCGGTTAATGTATTATTCATATAGCATCCGATCAACGTGTTTCAATGATTCACCGATGTATCGTTTTAATCAACGTTTCGACTTTTGTATATTTCGACGTATTATAAGCCAATTCTGAACGTTGAAGAACACAGCCGATACCGATCTCTTTGTTCTTTTTTTTTCTTTTTTAAGGAAAGATTTTTCATTTACCTAAGATCGTATCAAAAATCGATCGCCACGAATATCTAAACGATCGTTTTTTCGGTTATCCACTTGTTTTTGTTTTAATAATATTTCATCGTTCAACGCATAGCAGCGAAGTAAAAAGCGTTTCAAAATGAACAGGGAAACATTTCATCTTAAGTGCACTTTTAAACGATGAAATATTTTAAGGGACTCGATATTCGGTCTACGAGTGTTTAAAATACGGATAAATATATACAAGTATAGAATGCAAGTATAGAAAAAATAATTAGTGAAGAAAAGGAGAGAAAAAGAAAGAAAATGTATCTTACGAGACGATGTATACGAGACGACGACACGGTAAGAATTTCATTATTTCAGGATCTATTGTCGACGAATGGAGTTTTCGTATTTTTCCGTATTTCGAAAAAAATAATAACACGGGCTAATTTCAATCGAGAATGAAGATTCCTAAAGATATATATATATATATATAACGAATCCGCCATTTACGAATATCATTTGAATAAAAAAATTGAAAACAAAAGAAGCTCGCGTAGTTTCTACCCAGATATTGGAAACCATTGTTATTATTTAGGAGAAAAATCTGATATGCATATTCGAATGAAAACATATTTATAGCTAAAAGAATATTCGTGTCGTTAATTATTTTCTGTCCTTCCGTTTTAACTGGAGCACTAAATTCTCGGCTATGAAACGGAGAATAAGAAAAAGAGAATTTCTCGCATTATTGCTCGTCACGTTGAGTGGCACGGAAACTTTGTTTTGTTTCGAAACGTAGTTTTTGTAGAAAAAAGGGGGAGGGGAAAGAAGAAGAAGAAGAAGAAGAAGGGAAAAGAAGCGAGCGACGAAGAGAAGGAGACAAAAAAATAATGTTGTTTGTTTTTAGCAAGTGCATCGTCGAAGTATGATAAATGATAGCAACGTAACAATAGATGCGTGCCACTTGATACGAGAAAAATCGTCGAATTTCGTTCGAATCTCTGCACAAAGATGAATTATTATTCAAAGGATATATCTTTTTTTTTTTTTCATATATACATATATTATTAATATATGTATAATTTTACGTAATTAAAACATTGTTCGTGTTATTCGAAACGAAACGATAACTCGTACAAAATGTCTGTTAATTTGATGGACGTAGGACAAATTTTTGTACACACATATATATATACGTATACGTATAAGACAAAATTGAAATACGTATTGAAATTTAATTTGAATTAATACTCTATTAATTCGTATTATGCGATAGATGCAGATACGTATTTACACGTGTGCGTATGTACGTATATATCAATTGATATAGCAATATCGAATGATAATATCGAATCAATTTCACAGTATTTGTTTATTTTCAAAGTATAATTTCGCACAGTTAATAAATTAATACCAATCTAAAGAGTGTCCCCGTTATTTTATTTTTGAATAAGGAATGTTCCTTCGTTTCTTTCTTCTTCCCCCCCCTCCAAACTAAAATTTTTCTATCCATCCATCTTTTCTTTGAAAATTGAAATTCCATTCCAGGTTTTATTACACCTTTCGCTACAAGATCCCGTAATGCAATGATAACGATAATAATCGAAAATATTTTTCCACATTTATGGCACGCAATAAGTAGAAATCTAGGAAGAGTTTGGAAGCGTATCGATCCAAGTTGAAAAAAAATTCTTCCGGTCGACGGTCAATGTTTTTATCTTTCCGTCACGAGCAGCGTACGCACGCGAAAACGTATAAAAGCGTAGGTTTGATCGGGCATCGGGTTTTACGAGGGCCGGCAACATGTACGCGGGAATAAAAGTGCTTTCGAGGAACGTAATGCGAGCACAGGTCAAAATCGAAACACCGAACGTTCGTAGGGATCGATCGCACGAATAACACGTAAAAGTGGTGATACGGATTCAAACGGAAACGCGTTAAAGTTTTTACACTTTTCGGTCGCTTGTTTCTTCTTAACGTAATACAGAATGAAATATTGGGGAAAAAAGTAGAATTTGAGTGAAGATGGTTTTAATGGATTTAATGGATTTTATGGCGAGAAGACTGAAAGGGGAGACGAAAGAGTATATACAGGGGAATACGAATGACTGGTAGGACTAACCTTGAGCGTGGACGAGAGCGTGGAAGAAAGCGACGACAACGGGGAAAAGAAGGTGACACCGCATCTCTTCCTTCTTCCAACTTTCCTTTCCTGCTCGGCCACACCGTTTTTCCTTCTTTTTTTTTCGTATTTACAACTTTCTTTCACTTTTCACCCGGCCGGAGGAGGGTTTCAACGAAAAGGACGAAGCAGCCACGTTTTAATCGTATCGCGTGCCGTTTAATCGACGGGATTCGTTTCGACCGAGCCGTAACTCGATCATTTAACGTCACGAAAGATCCTGTATTCACTCATATCACCCGCCCGTTCACGTTTCGCCAGATTTCTCTCCCTCCCTCTCCCTTATCGATTCTTCTTTTATTCTCACTTTTCTTCCCTCACATCGATATTACCATCATCGACACTCACTCTTCTTCTTCTTCTTCTTCTTCTTCTTCTTCTTCTTCTCCAATTCTTCTTCTAGTCTGCAATACCAAACGATATTTACCATTAATCCTGCAATCGATCACCAACCTCGCGCGTTACTCTATCCTCGAAAACGGATATTTCGGATATATATAAATAATAATAATCGTGCACATGTGGGACAAAGAAGAGGAAACGACTCTAATTGTCGGACCGATCGCTCGACAAACATCGCTCTCTTTCGCTCCCTCCCCTCCCGTTTCCTTATCCACTTTCTTTCTACGCGATACGAATATACGCCGCTGGCATATTGAAAAGGCAACATCGACTTTTTCCATCGATTTTATCGCCGATGATTGATGAACGCGTATCTCTCTCGTGGTGCAACCTTATAGCGCAACTCTAACGCCGGTGTTGCTCGCGCCTTACAAATCAAATACCACTAGCAAGGCTTCCGCGTTCCCTCCACTCCTTTTCCACTCCAACTTTCCTTTCAACCTGCGCCATTGTCGCTAGCCACCCTAAATCCTCCTCCTCCTCCTCCTCCTCCTGGTCGCGCCCCCATCCCGGACCCGGCAGGAACGCGTAATCGAATAAAACTGCTAAGTGATTAATCGCATGAACCTCCTTTAACTTCCCCTTTAAAACGACATTTACCGCATCGTTTCGCTTTTTCCACCGCTTCCGTTCCAATCTTCGTTCCGAAATACGCTTATTATCCGCCGTCTCGTGCCAGCCACGCATCAAATGCGATTAGCAGCGGATAAGCAACCGTCGATTTTTTTATCCGTTTTCGTTACTCGTTGATATAAATAAGGTGGAAACAGGTATCTGGAGATCGACACGAGAGGTTCATTAACGATTTTCGCTGGCCAATCTCTTTTTCTCTCCTCTTTCGAGAATAATTTCAAACTACATTGCAACGAATTACTCCATCGAGTTTTACAACAGTTTTAAAAAGTTGGCACGAATAGAATAGAAGAGGTTTTGATTCGTCGTCGGAAGGATTCGTAGGAATCGATGGATTTCTCGGCAAAGTTTCTTTGGAAAACGAGAAAGCAACTCTAGTCTCGCTCTGGGAACACGAGTTCCTTTCCCCCTCGCGGTCATTTGTCGCCGCGCCATGTACGCCGAATTCTTCCTTCCACTCTTCCCTTCATCCATCCATACGTAAAATTTGACCACGATTCGATGGGGATTTCGACGGACGGAGGGCGCGAAAAAACGTTTATTAAACGCGGTCGTCGCTCGCATTATCCCTCCTCCCCTCCCTCCCTGGGACGGCGATGGAACGGTGCAAGTTACATCGAATCGAATTTGCTAATACGCCCACCAGCCCGGAGGGACTTTACTCGTCGCCTGACGTAGGAAACGTTGCGAGTGCTGGCTTGTTTAACAGGGAAACATCCGACAATTTTCATTCCCCCCACCACCACCCGTTAACCGAATTCTTCCGTGTTCCGTGCTACTTATTCGATCGATCTACGCGTAATCGAATAATCTTGTTCGCGTTATATTTTACGCTTTTCGCGTAAAATCGAGAAAAGTAGGATCGATTCGAGTAATTGATTAGGATAGGATAAATTTAATTTTGAACCGAAAATTAATCCCTCGATATTTCGTTCGAAGGTGGATAATTTAAATATTTGCACGGGGGAAGCAATTTGTTTAATGGAAAGTAGAAAGTAGTAGCAGCGATAACACCTTTCTCGGTGATACTCGGTGATGTTCGTCGCGCTCGTGTCAATCAATGTTAATAATCAAAAGCAAAGCGATAAACGATGGAAAAAATACGCGAGAGGAGCGGTAAATTTTATCCGATCTTGCTTACATCGACGATTCATCTTTGAATTTGTCTGTTTAAAAAAAGAGCAGTTACGAGTTACGTATAAATCGTCCGTTGATATTAAACGCGCATCGAGATTGAGAAAAAGGGAAGAATTTTCATACCTTTTCTTTTCTTTTCTTTTCTTTTTTTTTTTTCATTCGAATAAAATCGGGGAAACTTTATACGCGACAGAAATATCGTTACGTCGTTTATTTTCCGACTCGAATAACCGTTAATATCGTTTATTTATTAACGAGCGAGACATCAACGCCATCTAGAATTCCGTAACGTTTCGTTCTTTCGATCGTCGAATACGAATTTAAACACCTTCGCCATTTTGTTCGTTAAATTCGTAAATTCGTGGATAAGGCGAAGGGTGGAATACGGAGTAGGTGCTCGTCGACCGACCGTTGTTTGCGAAGACGCGTAACGAAAACGAGTGACGATCCATATACCAGGTATACCAGATTCTCGAATATATATTTCGAAAACACTCGTCAATGTCATCGACTCGTGTGGCGAAAAAACACGAGAGTTTTTTTTTTTTTCCCCTCTTTCTCTCTTTTTTTTTTTTTTTTTTTTTTCGTTCGCGTGCTCCGCCACAGCGAATCAATACGAATTAATTCGTCGATAAAAGTATCGTATCGGTGGAAATTCCGTGTGCCACCAGATCCCCAATTACCGAACGGTCGACCGAGAAAAACTCGTTGAACTCGTTAAGCCGCAGCGGCGGTCCTGTTACCCGATCCCAACGCAACGATTCGACGTCGAATAAGATTCGTACGAGGACGAAATCACGGTAAGGGTAATATGTAGCGTCCCCGCCGAGTCGTATACCTCTACGACTTCTTCGATTTCGATAAATGGAACGAAGATAAAAATTCGCCACCGAAGAAGAAGAAGTACGCGGCGAAACGAAAGATCGTAACGCGCCACTTTCCCTCGTCGAAATATCGTACGACGATATCTCGGCCGATATCTCGAAAAATGTAAAAGAAAAACAAAAAGCACAGTTTACTTAAGGGCGGAATAACAATTGATCGTACGTTGGATCGATTTAAAAAAAGACGCGAGGAGAAGGGCGAAAATCGGGAATAACGCTACTTACGTTACGATATTGATAAACGACCGTCGAGCTTTCGATCGATATCGGGCGTAGGAAGGACGTAAGAAATTGGGACGAGATCGATTCGATTCTCGTTCCACGAGATCGGACGGAAGATCGAAGATTCCTGTCATTCCTTTCCCTTTTTCTACCTGTTAGACGAATATGCGAAGAAAAACGAGGGGGAAGATTAACGAGGGGTCGAATTGTTTTCACGAGCGTTGGATAGAGCAATGTGTCGGTTTGCGTCGGTCGGACGTAAATAAAGAAGGTAGAAGGCAGGGATAGAAGGAAGGGAGGAAGAGAATAAGAATCGAAGGATAAGAAAGATCGCTCTTCTCACCGATATATGTATATATATATATATATGTATGTATGTATATGCACGCGTGCTCGATATAAAAATTCACTTTTGAACGTGGAGGCGAATCGGACGAACGAAACGAAAAAGGAGGCGAGGCGAGGCGAGGCGAGGCGAAATAGCAGGCGTTACGCGTACACTCGCGATGGTCGCGGGCTGAATACTGGCGCGCCGTGCCGCCCGGACTTTTAGTTCGTGCCGCTACCGAGGAGCGTCGCGACGCTTTTCGCGCCCCCCACTCCACCGGTTCAGCCCTTGGGTTCAGCGTCAGCCGGCCGCCGGCCCTCTCAAATCGTCCGCCACGTTTCACGCTATCCCCACGACCCACCCTATCAAGCTTCGCCTCACCTCGCCCAGACTAGCCAAGCCTAGCCTCGCCCCTCGCGCCCTCTCGCCCATCCATCTCCTCTCCCATTTCCAACGTATCCGATCTTTCGATGACGACTCTCCCTTCGATACCGCTTCGCCCGTGTTTAACTCCAAATACATTTCCCCTCCCCTTCTTCCTCCTCCTCTTCTTCTTCTTCTTCTTCTTCTTCTTCTTCTTCTTCTTCTTCGCGTCCCACGGTAATCGCGCAAACGGTCACGACTTTCTACGTTCCACCTCTTTAATTTCCTTTCTTATTCCCAAGGACTGTGATTTCCCTCCCAATCCTTTCGATATATATATATATATACGTTTAACTGTTTTCCGAAAAATTTAGCGTATCGAACACATCGGGTATTGAATTCTCGATATTCGTCGCGTTGATTGTAATTTGATATAAAATTTATTTCTACTCGTCGGATTATTATACATATCGAAGAAGGAGTAAAAAATTACAGGATCACTCGTTTTTCGTTAAATATTTTTCGCGAGCCAACTGATTTTCTCGCGTTCGAAACTAGCGTGGAAGAAACTAAGGCATCTCTCGGAAACCAGTCATTTTTCGAAACGACTTTTTCGCTCATCTTTCCGAACTTAATCTTTCGAAAGCCTAATCGGCCGAGCCATCTCGATTGTTTATCGTAAGTTTCGCTGCACTTTCAGGGCGAACCCATTCTACTCTGCGAACACTCATTTTCCATAATTATGGAAAATTTCACTCGACTCCTCTCCCCAACTGATCCGAATATCGAGATATTTAAATAACGTAACGTAAATAAATTGTTTTAACGTTAAAACTTACTTACCGTTTTGGACGATGTTTATATATCGTTCCGGTGCGAAAGAAATTTTACACGATAAAATTTAAAACGCGATATTTCTATTCAAACTATGCGACAGAAACCTTCCTTTTGACACGAATAGGAAAAAGCGACTCGAAGAAAAAAAAATCCCAATTTATTTTTGAAACTACATTATTAAAAAAAAAAACCGTAATAAAACTATATTTCTTTAAGAATTGTTTCGCTGCATAACTAGATCATTATTTTATTATATCTTGCGAATAATCGCGATAAACTCGTATCGCTATTATCGAATCCTTCGTCCCACCTTGAAAACGATTGGCAGCGCCTGGATCAAGATCCTCGATCCTCTGTCACACGAAAAATGTCACGTTAATTGTGGAGACTCGTACGTTCCTCATTACCTCAATCATAAGAAAAAAGAAAAAAGAAAAAAGAAGAATTATTCCGTTGTTTATAACACAGAGGTTACTTTTCGCCACTCAAAGTCGTCGCGAAATAAACTGTCGCGTCCCGCGGGAGGAAGAGGAAGACGTTCGCGCGTTCTCGTTTCTGTACACGTATTACGAGACAGCACGGACGGTTAGTTAACGCTGGGGGACTGTTTCGCGTATATCCTGATCTCGCGCATCCGAGATAACCGGGATGGGGGCACAGAGCATCCAGGCCGACTGACCTCCTATCTTCCTTGTATTCTTGCCACTCGAGTTAACCTCGGCGAAAAGGGAGGCTTCGAAGGAAGGAAGGAAGGAAGGAAGGAAGGAAGGAAGGAAGGAAGGAAGGAAGGAAGGAAAGGTTGGCGTTTATCGATAGGATGCGTTTTAAGCGTAGGAGAAGAAAGGAGGAAGACGGAGGAGGATCGAATGGCGGAGACAAATGGGTTATGAATTAATGGTTGAAATCGGAGAACAAAGAGAGGATTGGAGATTCTCTCTGGTTAGGTTGTCGGTCGGAAGGGGAAGAGGGGGAGGGGGATACGGGTGAAAGGGCACGTCCGGATCCCATCCGCGGGAAGCGAGAGGGGATAGAGAGTGCAGCCAGGTTCCAGCTGCGTGCAATAAACGTGCGTTAAGCCGTGCGCATGTGGTCCAAAGCCACGTCGAGATTATACACCGAAAGCTAATTAACTCTGTCCGGGGGAGGTTCGTCTCCTTCGCTTCTTCTTTCGAATCTGTTTCACTTCGATCGAAGAGCGAACCAACGAATCTCGTCCAATTTTATTTAGCCTCGCGAAATTTACGAATAGATAATATACGATGGATAATATAATTCGAGGGATGATTTCTTCAGGAGGGGAGGGATGGGGTGGACGATGATCGATGTACCTTGAAACCTTCGATGGTGATGGTGATGGTGGTGGTGGATTCGAAACGGGGAACTGCGAGATTGCAGACCTGTTTCCCAAATTAAGGTCGTATGCAACATTCCCGCATCGCGTGTCTGCATACCCTGTACAGCTGCTTGCGTCGAGTGTATGCAAAATTCAGGAAACCACTCTCCGCACTGTTCTCACCTTCTCGCCTCTCTCGTCCTTTCGTATAATCCGACAGAAAAAAAAAAAAAAAGAAGTTACGATTCGGAGTTTGACGTTAAATCAACGTTAAATCAAAAAATTTTTAGAAAAAAGAAGGGGGGAAAAAAAACAACAACAACAACAACAACTCTCTCCATCGCGGGGAGAGAACGCGTTATCCCGTTCACCGCGCCACGTCACATATATCGCCGCGTACGATCGAAAGTCGTACGAGCGTCGTTCTAAAATTTGTTATTTTTTTTTTTTTTTTTTATATATATAATTGTCCTTTTGTTCCCTACATTTTTCGTTATAACTTTTTTAACGACGCGTTTATGACGCTTTCTACGGTACACGGTTCATACGGTTTTATTATCGCGACGAATCGAAAAAGATTTGAAAAAGAAAAGCCAAGTTTTCCACTAATTTTCGTTCCTTCCAATTATATATATATTATATATATATTATATTATTCGTACGTCGATCGACAAACATTCTTCTCGCGTATTCTCGCGCGCGTAAAAGTACTTGGTGGCATCGATCTATCGAGAGTGCATGATAAAAAATTGAGTAGAAACTATCGAGTGGAGAATATAATCGATCGAGGTGTAAATTACCATATACAGGTTGGAGACGAAATAACCAACGATAAATCGATGATCGGTATTAACGTATATTTGTATATTTCATTTCATTATTTTCATTATTTCTAGAATAAATCCGAATCTCTTTTAATCTTGTACGGGACAATTTAAATTTGAATTTTACGACATGTGTAACGACATTTATCTTTCCTCGGGACGGGTCAAAATATTATCGCGATATACGTTCGTATCGTATCGATTCGCGACGAGTAAATGAAAATTTGGAGAGAAAAAAGGAAAAAATTCGAATATAATCGATCGACATCGATGATTTCGATTTAATTCGCGCGGCATTTTTTTCACGTTTACGCGGCGCGAGCGTGAGAAACGAGCGGTAAACCGAATTCCCAAAGTACAAAAGTGAATAAATAATGGATGAAACGGGAATCTTGTTGTTGAAAGTATCGTTGTTTTTTCTTTTTTTTTAATTCGCAGGTTGACGGGGCGACAATTTACCGAAGTGAATAGTTAAACGAATTGGTATCTCGAAACCCAATTGGAATACCGATACATTCGGTTATTGGGGGGGGCGCATTGTTCCCAGAGTCGGTGCATCGAAACGCGGAGGCAAAGGCGCGCTCGATCCACCGATGATGGAAACAACTTTGGCCAAACTTTTGGCCCGCCAAAAATCGATCGCGTTCAATCGCGACGATAATTAAATTGCGATAATTAAATATAAACGGTTGGGCATTCGCGACGTCGTCGGAATGGAAGAAAATGGCGGATAGATAACGGGGGATGGACGGATTGTTCGATCGATCGATCGATGATGTTGGAAAAACATCATGGCTGTAACATGGGATACGTGCACACGGGATAATTTGGAGCGTAGTTTTCATTGATCGAATGAATCGATAATTGGTATCTCGCGGGAAGCAAATTAGAGCGGCGTCGAGGGTGCATTGTGACGCGGTCGTGGACGGAGCAATAGAGGAGAACTGGACTTGGTCGGGCAGGCAGGGAGGCGCGAGTAAATGCGAAGCTTGCCGTTTGCTCCGCCACGGCGTCCGATTAATTTCTCCGGCAAAGCCTGCGGGCTCCAAGGACATTGGCAACGATTGTTTTCGGCTTTGTCGATCTCAAAACCGTGTAAACGTCCGCCGGTCGCTTTCGCGTGTTTCCTAATTAAACTACCACTATGCCAGAGAGAGAGAGAGAGAGAGAGAGAGAGAGAGAGAGAGACTTTAGCCAACTATTCCAAACCGCTTTTCCTATTTACATTAACATATTTCTCTCGGCGGAGCAAAGTCTCCTCTTAGTTTTCTTTCGACTCCACCAAACAAACAACGCCGACTTGGCAAGAAGAATAGGAAAAATCGTGTCGTTAATTTAATTTATCCCATTTATCCCGCGAAATGAATGAACGGAACGAAAGATAAATAATAATAAGTTTTAAAATAATCCCGGGCCGAGATCTTAAAATCAAGAGAATTTGCATAGGATGGTAACGAAGAACCGAGAGAATCTGCATTTCTTTGAGGTTAATGGGCCGGGAAGAGAGTAACGAATTGAACGCGCTGTAAGAGTTGATCTTATTCGAAGACTCGTCATGCGCGAACAAAAATTTACGAACAAAAATTAAGTCGAAGAATCGTGCGAGAAAAGAGAAAGACATAACCTTATTATTATTATTATTATTATTATTATTATTATTATTATTATTATTATTATTATTGTCGTCAAATTAGACGAAAGATAATTACGGCTCGTTTTCGAAAACGAACTCGACAGAGAATCGAAATCGCTTAAATGTTCGTAGGTAATCTACGAGCGGAGTTTCTCGATATCGAAGGATTTTTCGACAAAGAA